CTTTTGCCTTCAATTAAATATAATAAAAGTTTATTTCTACCTATAATGATAAGTTTAAATAATATGTACTGCGTGTTTAAATTGTCATAAAGCAATCCAGTAAAAAACTGAAAAGTTATTCTGTGCAAAAATTAATTATTAATTGCAAATTGTTACCAATCATAAAATGAAGACAAAAGTTGCAAATTAAATTTCCTAAAATGATATTCAAATTTTGTTTAATTAGCTGATTAGACTAGATTTGCACTTTTAATGCACATTCAATACCAATCTAAAGTAATAAAAGTTATATTGTTCAGTTTTCATTGAACCAAAAACCTTCATCGGCTAAAAGTACATTTAAATCTAACATCATCTCAAATCCAAATCAATCGATGGTTCGCAAGTAAAGACGCTTTTGCTTCACTTGTTTATATTTGATCAACTTTTCAATTTACAGAAATATCTTTTTCCAATCAAAAAGCGTTAAATATTTAATTACTTTTCTCATTCAATTCGAAAGAAAAAAATCAATTTTCTGAATTTCCTTTTTTCCAGTTCTAACTTCGATAATGAAAGCTGGCTAAGTCTTGATAAAAATGTTTCAGTATCAGAAGAAGTTTGAAGAGGATAAGATTAGCGAATCTAATGAACTATTTTCGTATTTCAGTTTCTCAGGTTCGGCCATTTCATTGAAGCAACTTTTGAGGAAATTAAATGAGTTCATTTTGTTGAACATTTTCATGAGCTGACAAGATTAGCGATTCAATTTAGAGTTTGTTTCATGATCGATGGAAATACTTGAAAGATTTTCATCTTAAGGCGTTTATCAGAAGTTTGAATTGCGTGATTGGTTTAGCTCAAGAAAAAGTGTCTTTACTTGTGGATCATCCTTACCTTTCTCATCTTCATTGGTATTGATAACACACTTCAATTGTCTTTCCTCACTTTCACTCGACACTCACACTAACAACACACACACACACTAACACTTATGCACACATTAAACCACACAACACTCAATGTTTCATTGGAATAACGCAATTCTTTTGACATTCTTTTTTCTTCTTTTTCTCTTCACCAACCTATCGAAACAAAACAAATACTTTCTCTATTCCTAATTGCTTAATACAAAAAATGACCAAACTTGGGTCTTCAAGTATTCTAGGTATGAATCTATTTGGATGTAAATTTTGCGACAAAATGCCGGATAACACGACTCAATGTGATAGAA